CCTTCCAGTGTATTTTTCATTTCAGTTATTGTGTTGTTCCTCTCTGTTTGTTTGTTCTTTAGTTCTTCTAGGTCTTTGTTAAACATTTCTTGTATTTTCTCAATCCGTGCCTCCATTCTATTTCCGAGATTCTGGGTCATCTTTACTATCATTCCTCTGAATTCTTTTTCAGGTAGATTGCCTATTTCCTCTTCATTTATTTGGTCTTGGAGGTTTTTACGTTGCTGCTTCATCTGTGACATTATTTTTTGCCATCTCATTTTATTTTTTTATTTTATGAGTGGGATTGTGTTTCTTTCTTACTGGTTGTTTGGCCTGAGGCTTTCAACACTGGAGTTTGTAGGCTGTTGGGTAGAGCTGGGTCTTGGTGCTGAGATGAGGACCTCCGTGAGACCTCACTCTGGTGAATATTCCCTGGGATCTGAGTTTCCCTGTTAGTCCAGTGGTTCGGACTTGGAGCTCCCACCACAGGAGCTTTGGCCCAACCCCAGGCTCATGAACCAAGATACCACAAGCCACGTGGGTGGCCAAAAAAAAAAAAAAAGAACAATAACAAAGTAAAACATAAAATTAGACTAGGAAACTAACAGATATGTTAGAAAGAATATGAAAATAAAAATATAGATGAATCAACAACTAGAAGGTACATCAATACCACAATAATAAAAAAGGGAAGGAGGGGGCTCCCCTGGTGGTGCAGTGGTTGAGAGTCCACCTGCCGATGCAGGGGACACAGGTTCGTGCCCCGGTCTGGAAGGATCCCACATGGCACGGAGCAACTAGGCCCGTGAGCCATGGCCGCTGAGCCTGTGCATCCGGAGCCTGTGCTCTGCAACGGGAGAGGCCACAACAGTGAGAGGACCGCATACTGAACAAAAAAAAAAAAAAAGGGAAGGAAGGAAAAGAAGAAAAAGGGGGGGGAAAGGCCTTGGCTGTGGAGGGTGGGGCCTAAGCGAGGGCGAGGTTTGGGTGGTGGGCAGGGCCAATGCTCAGGACCCACAGGGGTGGAAAAGGCGCTGGGGGCTGTGGGGGGCAGGGCTTAGGCTCAAGGAACAGATGGGGCCCAGGCGTGCCCCCCAGCCCTGGTCTCAGAGGGCAGGGACCTCACCTGGGAGCCCAGCAGGCTCCCCGGGCCGAGTGGGCGGGGCAAACGCTCTCCTCTCCTCTCCTGCTCCTCCCGTCTGGGAGGGCTCTTCCCACCTGCTTCCCCTGATCTCCCCGGCCTCAGGGGCGCCGATCCGGTCTGGCCTCCACTTCTCCTCCCCCCTCTGTCCCCCCACATCCTACCGGTTCACTTGGGGGTTCCTCCCATCTCCTTGGGCATCAGAGTCCCCCACCAGCAGCTGGCAGGTGCCCTAGTTGTGGGGAGACGCCAACTCCCCATCTTTCCTCACTGCCTTCTTGACTCGGCCTCCTCCTGGTCTTAGTTTTTAGTTGATGAGATTAATTTTGTCAAATGTAATTAACTGCCATTAATATGGAACGTTTGGGAAACGTGACTATTGATTTATTGGATAGTCTCACAGTCAGTACAGAATGACAATATGTAATACCGTGGATACCAATTTTGAGCAAGAGGAATAAATTGCTTTGACACTGAAAAGGGACCGTGCTTACTGCTCTGTCTGGCTCCATCCACGTCACGTGCTCACCCAGCATCCAAGAGGGCGGACGATGTGCTGTGCGTTTCAGGGAGACCAAGAGCCCGTCTCTGGCTCTTCCTGAGCTGCGTCCACTTGTTCTGACATCAGCTTGATACCTCTCACTTACCTTTCTTGAGGAAGAGACAGTAAGTATTCAGTAAACCCAGGCCTGAGCCCCATCACCGTGTGGCTCTTTGGATCTCAGGTAAAGTAGTTGATGGGCATTTAAAAACTCCATCTACAGTGTTCATGTAATCTCAGTAACTACTGTGTCCATTCATTTGTGTTTTCTGTAATTATGAAAATTTGGTCTCCCCCCACCCCCTTTTCCCTCCACTGCCCCAGTCTCTCTTTCAACAAATATTTCCTGAGCACACACCATGCGCCAGGCCCTGGGCTCAGTGCTACAGATGACTGTGAGAGAGGCAGGCTTGGTTCTGCCCTCACAGAGCACGTGGTCTTGTGGGGGAGAGAGAGCTACTCAGATCAACAGGTGATGGGGGTCATGTGCTGAGAGGGACAAGTGCATGTGTGCTGTGAGGTACTCTGACCTGGTCCACCCCTCCACTCATCTAAGCATCCACCATTCTCGTCTCTACCCATCTACCCACCTGCCCACCTATCCGTCTACTCATCTGTCCATCCATCCATCCAGTAATCCATCCATCTGTCCTTCCTTCCATCCATCCATCCAACCAAGGAGTGTTGTTGAGTTCCAGTTCTTAGGCTGACATTAGGAAGACAAAAAGAATGAGGTAGGGTGCTTGCCCTGGGGAATTCAAAATCCAGCTAAAGAAAAGCCCCTGTGAATACTACATGCAGTAAAGTCAGGGAGGCCAAGAAGGGAGGGAGGGAGACAGACTTCTACAGGAGGGCTCTGGGATGCTGCTGTGTCAAGGCTGCTGTGTAGGAATAGGCTCAGCCTGCATATTGCTTGTAGTTTAATGCCTCTGATCTCAGGCTCTTTCTGCTGCCATGGTTCCGGAGTTAGACTGAAAGCATACTGAAACAGAAGAAGGAAGGGAGGGATCCAGGGTGGCCCTGGACGTCTGTAGAGGTTGTTCACTGCTCTCCAATGCAGAGGTCACCTCCAGGGCTGTGCAAGGCACAACCTGTGAGTCCAGACTTGGGAGCCGTGGAGACCCTCCAGAAGACCCCTTCACGGACTTAGTGGGCTCTCCCGCCGGTGAGGGGCGAGGATTGTGTGCGCGCTGTGCCCTTACCTTGCTGATATTAATTACTCGCCTTCTCCCTTTAAAATGGAGTAAATGGGGACGGTATGCAACTTTCCCAAAGCCAAAGAGCTTATAAGTGGAGGAGGTGGAATTGAAACCAGGCCTGCCTGCTTGAAAGCGCTGCGATCTGCTCTGTGGCGGAGGGTCTGATGGAAACGGAAGGTCGATGGAGACCCACCGGCGCCTGCCTCGCACTCTCCGGCCCAGGTTGCACTACCCCTGGGCCACCACGAGATGGCGCCGCAGACCAGGGCGGGAGTCCTGTTGGTTCCACAGCAACCAGAGCCCTGCTTCTCCGGTTTGTTCTTTTTCGCCCAATTTGAGCCTCTTGCCTGCGAACGAAATCATTCCACAGAGCTTCCCAGCGCACGTGTATGCTGGCGTAAGGCTCAGATAACCACGCTGGTGGTAACAAGAAAAAGTAATCAACAGTCATTCTACGAAATAAATGAAAGAAATGAAAACGTTTATTCCAGCCAACCTGAGGATTATAACCCAGGAGACAGCCTTTCAGGAGCTCTGGGGACTGTTCCGGGGAGGTGGCAGGGAGGTCAGCATATGTGTGATTTGGGGGAAGGGGTACGTGCAACCAAGCACGCATGTCGGTAGAAGGCTGCCGCTGGTCACCAGGAACAGACATCTCAGTTAATGGTTTGGGTGCTTTTCTAAGTACGGGAAGAGGCAAGAATCCAGGATCAGACAAAATTTCTCCTGAAATATCTATCCGAAGGCCAGTTCTGCCAGTTTTCCCAGAGCCCAGTGGGCCTCATTCCTGATCTCCACCCCGAATTCCTTGTAGGTCAGCGACTGCAGTGGCTGAGGGCTTGATTCTTGTAGAACTGGAGGGTGGGCAACGTCCTTTATTTTATAATTCCCTCCCTTTCGGTCTTAATTTCAACCGAAATGTGGGAGGCATTTCCGGACCAATTTATCCCACGGCGCTAGGAACGCTCGTTCTCAGGTCAGGCAAGGACTTTGTTGATCGGCCCCTCAACGTGCTCTCCCTGAACTAGGCCCTGTTAACAGGGGCTGAAAGCCTCTGGACCACCTGTCTTACTGGTCTGTTATGGTCCAGGAAATGGTCCCTCTTGTTGCTTTTTCCCACATCTAGAGCTACACTATTACAATAATTGATCTTATAGGACTATATATTTGGTCAATCATTTTAGGTCACCTGGTCATCATTAGTTTTACCTGAGGCTCAGTCACACATTTGGTGATGGAAGAAACGATACTCTTATAAAACAGACAGAACACAAGTAATACAGCTAGTAACATTAATAAGGTCGTAAGTATTTAAGCTAAGAACTTCCATGAAGTGCGGCCCAGTATCTCCCCAGGTCGTCTGATCGCTGTCTTTAAGGGAAATGATACATTGGCATTTTACATAAAGGTCACCGAAGATGTCTGCGTGTACAAGGTGAGTGGCAGGTCATCGTGACCCCTTACAGGATTAAGAAAGGAACGCTGTCTTCTAAGGAGTTACGTGGCTGGTTCAGGAGAAGGAAAATTGGTCTTTATGGTTGAGCAGGTATTTCTGCTCTGCGGAGGTCTGGTTAACACACCATGCACGTTGGAGGGAAGGGAGGGAACAGGCCAAACAGCAGAGAAAAAGGTTTATATTTAAAGTTTACTTGTCTTGCCTCAAAAGGGGAATTTTTTATTTCATCACTGATCTTTCAGGGTGGACAGACCCGGTGCCTCCAGAGGAGGGGCACTAGAGGTGCCGGTCTGGGCAATTGTAGGGGCCGAGCCCGCATGGACTCTGCTTTCCTGCCTGGACTTCCCGAGGGAGGGGACGCCTTCTCTCTCATCCGTCTTTGTCTCTGGGAGGAAAAGGGCAGCCACAGCAGGAAACGGTGTCTCTGTGCCGTGGAACCGGGGGTGGGTGAGTGAGCTTCCCTGGACCAGGACCGGGGTGTGGTGGGGAAAGCAGGTTCTCGGGCCGCCAGCAAAGCTGGGGATCCAGCCGGCGTGAGGAGGATAGCGTTTGTGTCACAAGTGGAAGTGCTACTGGCCTGGACATTGCGCCCTTGTGGGCAGGGAAAGGTCATTCCGTCATCAGGGACTGTGGGTTCTTGCTTGTCGAGATCCCGGACACCAAAGGGATTCTGGTGGAAAGAAATGGACAGTAAGGGCTTGGCTTGGGGTTCCTCAGCCCAGGCAATAGAGTTTGCACCTCACAAGGTAGCAGGGACTGTAGGAGTCAGGGTGCTGTTGAGGCTGAAGGCACCTGCTCTGCCTTGCAGGGCCTGTCACCTGATCTCTCTGAGCCTCAGTTTTCTCACCTGTGAAATAAGGATAGTACTAGCATTAATCAGGGAGTTTGAGGCTACAAGTAATAGAAGCATCGCCTCGAACGGGCTTTAATGATAATGATAATTTACGACCTCTTGCAAGTGAAAAGTCCAGGGCAGGGTGGACTTCAGGTGCTTCCAGTGACCCGCTCAGAGAGAGACCTGGGATTGCCATCGAGGGCTCTGCCCCATAGTCCCCACCCCTGGAGCATCCTCCCAGGTGGCAACCCCTCCCCCAGGCCCACCCTGGGGACGAGGGTCCTGGAGCCAGGCAGGCGTGGGCTAAGCTTCACCCAGCCCCACAAAGACCAGGTGAGTAGTGGGCGTGTTCCTGGTTTCCTAGGTGAGGAACTTGATGCTAAGACACTTGACTTGTGCCCCCTAGAACTTGGATAACGACAGCCGGCTTTTATTGGAGATGCACTTCGTCTCAGGTGTGTGTCGGGGTTCATGGCCCCCAACAGCAGTGCTGTGCAGGAGCTGTTACCGTCCCCGTCTCGCAGGTGGCACAGAAGCCGGTGGAAGCTGAGTAACCTGGGAGGGTGTGACAGCTTCCAGCCCTGCTGATTGGGGCTCAGGGCTGAGACTGTACCCCTGACACCATTTCCAGTGCTAACACGGACATGTTGGGCACTGAACCATGTGCTTCGCAAAGGTCGTACGGTTTCATCTACCCTTTGAGGCAGGAACCCTGCTGCTCATTCTTCAGGTGGAGAAACTGAGCCCAGAGAGAGGAAGGACCTCGCACGAGGCCCATGGGCGGTGGGGACGTCAGGCTTCCGAGCGGCCGACCACCATGGGCGGCTTCAGTGTAGGAACCCAGCTTGAGAGCAACACCGAGGCTGTTAACAGGACGGGCACCACGCTGCTCTGACTGTCCTAGAACCCGCGACGAGAGGCCCAACACCCTCCCTTGGGATTCACGCTGGGGACGAGGGCTGGGCTGGATCTGCTGGACCTCAAGTCTTAGTGGCAGCAAAAGGAGGTGACGTCATTTTCCTCCCCTTCACAGCTATCCATCCATCCTGTTATGAGAATTTTAGAAGGTCCCTTTCTCCCATAAAGGGCAGGAATCATCTTAATCCTGCTCTAATGGAGGCTCCAGTGGGGGACGTTTCTGGGGAGAAGGATGTGCCGGGGTCCCCAAGACCACCTGTAAGTTTGATGACCCTCTAGAAAGACTCACAGGACACAGAGGTTACAGTTTATTATAGTGAAAGGATGCAGATGAGAATCTACAAGCGAGAGGAGTGCGGAGAGGAGGCCAGGAGGCAGCAGGCTGAGCTCGCCCTGTCTCTCCCAGTGGAGTCTTGCGGACGCTGCTAATTCTCTGGCAACGGCTTGTGACAACCCGTGTGGGGCATTGCCAACCAGGGAGGCTCATGCACCTTGGCGTCCAGGGTTTTACTGGGGGTCAGTTGCATAGGTGTGAGGCACCCACGTGGGCGACCTGAACTACTCAGACCGCAGCCTCCTCCCGCCGCCAGGTCAAACCTATGTGCTCAGGGGCTTCCCTGGTGGCGCAGTGGTTGAGAATCCGCCTGCCAATGCAGGGGACACGGGTTTGAGCCCTGGTCCGGGAAGATCCCACATGCCGCGGAGCAACTAAGCCCGTGTGCCACAACTACTGAGCCTGCGCTCTAGAGCCCGCGAGCCACAACTACTGAGCCCACGTGCCACAACTACTGAATCCCGCAAGCCTAGAGCCCATGCTCCGCAACAAGAGAAGCCACTGCAGTGAGAGGCCCACGCACCACAATGAAGAGTAGTCCCCGCTCGCCGCAACTAGAGAAAGCCCACGTGCAGCAACAAAGACCCAACGCAGCCAAAAATAAATAAATAAATAAACTTATGAAAAAAAAGAAAAAACTGATGTGCTCAGCACCCCCACCCCCCCAATCAATTGCACCGTTAGCACAAATACCAGGTAGGGTCCCAGGCCCCAGGTGCACAGACACCCTCTTAGCAAGCTGGACATTCCCAGGACCCAGCAGAAACGGGCCCTTTTTGGCAAGGTGCAGGGTTTAACACCCACCTCCGCTGAGCTAACCCTCTACTGCACAGGGACCAGGGGTGCCAAAGGGCGTAGATGTCTGAGGGCACCCATGGTCTCCTCTGAGGGCTGAGTCCTCCTAAAGAGGTGCCCAGGCTACTGGGAGGCCGGCCCCTCCCTGCTTCCAGCTCTGATTTCCTTACAGAGCAGGGAAGTCACCGCAGGACCCAGGCAGCTCTGGGCTAAGGGGGTCAGGGGCCTCAGCTCAGAGACCCCCGACCCCAGCCATGTGTAACAACCAGCACCGACCAGTGAAGGCAACAAGAGCGTGCAGGGGAAGACGTTCTCTCCGTCGTTTGGGGCTGCATCGTATTTTACACATCTCACAGAGTGTTTACAAATACGCTTTTGAGCATAGCAGAGATTGCCATCAGCTCAGCAAAATAAACATGTCAGTAACCACAGGGACTTGGGTGTTTCAGCTCAGGGGTAGAAATCCCCTCAGGCGGACCGAGGATTTAATATGTTCATCCTGGGGTTTGATTCCGGGTGGAATCGATCGGATTGAAACTTTCACAATATTTCTCATCTTCCTGCAGGGTGTCTGTCCCGTTTCACAACTTTGAAGCCCCACGCTGGTCCCGCGAGGCCACACCCGGCTCCCTGGGCACCAGCTTTGCCTACCTGGGCCCAGAGTCCTGCACGCAGCACAGCCAGGCTTCCTTCCCTGTGGCCCAAACCGATGATCTGTTTGCGTTTCTTTTTCACAAAGTTGTTGCCGGGAAGCCCAAGTATTGCAAAGTTGACCAGCTCACTCCAGTATTCTCTCTGTGGATTTTGTGATTACAGAAAAAAGAGAGAATGAGAAAAAGAACAACGACAACAAAACCCCAAGGAACCAAGAGGGAGAGAAAAATATAATTAGCATATGCAGAATTTTCAATGGTAAATGACCCCCAAATCCTCGACAACATGCATCTCCACAAATTGTGCAGCTCTAATTACAACCGTCTGTAAAGGTTCTAACTAGCTCTCAGCTCATCATATTTACGCCAGCTGAGGTAAGAGAGAGGATACCCCTGCGGGGTGACTCTGAGTTTGGACACCGTGTCTGTATTAAGATGCAGTGGTGTGTCCTCTGCACCCTGTCATGAGAGACAGATGCAGGAGAGCCTTAAACAGCGGTGGGGCAGAGAAGCCAGGGGACAGGGAACACGACAGAGGCCGGGGAGGGAGGACAGAGGGGCCAGGGCACAGCCGGCGGCTGGTCCGAGGGTTCAGGGCCAGGCACGCACGCACGGTTGGCGTCAGCTTACCTGGAGCTGGCAACCTTAGAAGAAATGTTTTGTGCTAACTATCTCAGGATACTTAGAAAATGCAGACAGCAAGGCCCACAGTCTCCTTCCTATGGCTTTGCCCTCTCCTTCCAATGCAGTCTAGAAAGTTCTGTGGCCTCAAATGAGCCAAAGGCTGGGCGTCAGGAGAGCACAGCCACGGAGGCCAAGCCGCGGGAGGGCCAGCTGATGGGTCCTCAGCATCAGAGACCCTTGGTGGTCCCTGGGGCCCAAGGGGGCACTGGCAGCCCCTCCCGCCGCGAAGACCTCTCACAGGCACGGGGGAGAGCGTGAACTTGAACCAGAGCGCAGGGCAGGGAGCCTGGCTGCACTGGAGGTGAGGGCGGGCGGCCCTCGGTGGAGGGAGCCTTTCCTGGGGGTGGGTCTGGGGGTCTCCCCTCTTCCTGGCAGCCAGCACGTCGCCCTCGGCAGGGCTGAAGAAATGGGAGGCCGAGGGGGTCCCTGTGGTTGTGGGTGACGCGGACACTGGGCCTGGGGTCCCTGAGCACACCTCAGACCCTGTCCAAGTGTCAGACGGTCCCGAAGCCCTGGCGGCGCAGCCAGGATCTGACCTCAGCACAGGCACCGTCCCGATGCCTTGCCAAGCGGAGCCACGTCTTCTCCCGAGGCGCATGCGTCCCCCGAGGAAAGCAGTTGTGGGGGCTGAGGGGGCAGAGGCAGCCCAGGCCCCAGCCTCCCACGCTCAGGGGCGAGGGTCTTGCCTCCCTTCCCCCATCCATCGCGAAGCTCCTCAGCCTGGAGAGGGAGGGGCAGCAGATGGAGACCCCCAAGCAGGTGGGAGGGGGTTCTTGCACCCCAGAACTCTGTCCCCCACCTCCCTACTTTGCCCTAAGTTGACCCTGCAGCAGCAGGTCCATTCTGTGGATTTTTCCAGACTCGGGGGCCTGTATCTTTTTTTTTAAATTGAAGTGCAGTCGACTTACGATGGTGTGCCAGTCTCTGCCATAAAGCCAAGTGGCTCCGTTATACACATATATCCATTCTTTTGTCAATGTTCTTTTCCATTAGGGTTTATCCCAGGAGACTGGATAGAGTTCCCTGTGCTCTACAGCAGGACCTCGTTGTTTATCCATCCTGTATCTAATAGTTTGCATCTACCAACCCCAAACTCCCAATCCATCCCTCCCTCTCCCCGCCACACCCCTTGGCCTGTATCTTTGAACCTGGAGGGCCTCTGACTTGGCCAGGACTAGAGTCTGTTGAGGCCTGGTGTAGGTGCTCTGGTGACCATGTGACGCACTCATTCACGTCCCAGCCTTACACCTGCCCTGCCTCCCCCACCTGCTCTCAGGTGAGGCCACACAGGGCTGGAGGTGGGCACCTCCACATGAGCACTGGGCACCCAGGATGTGGGCTCGGAGGCTGGGGGGAAGGCCTGGTACCCGCCACCCCACCCCTGCGTCACCCAGCTGTGGCTGAGAAAAGGAGCATTTTCTGCTCTGTTGATCTGTTTGAAGGACGTGTTGCCCAGAGATGGCTTTCTCCCAAGTCATTAAAGGACTAAAGGCAAACAAACATTTCACTGGCCTTGCTGGGCTGGGGCCAAGCCGCCGTCAGAATTAGGCAGATCTGGCCGTCACGTCTGTTGGGAAACAATGAACAGCCGAGGACTGGCTTTCAACGGCTGCTGTTTCTGGGCAAAGAGGAACAGTTTGCCCAGAGGGGCTGGATTAATAAAGACCGGCCCCTTCCTGCCTCCGGTTTCTGCAGCCCTGACGATAATGGACCACAGGCCCCCGGAGCTTCACCCGCCATGAACTTCCCTAATCCTCATAACAGCCCAACCAGATCAAGACTGCTCTCCTTGGTCCTCTTTCGGAAGCTAAGTCCCACCCAAGGCCCTGGTGGGTCAGCTCAGACCCCCACCTGTTGCCCCCCCAGGCCGTTCGCAGAGGTCACAGAACAGGAGCTAGAAATACGGAAGGCTGTGCGCTAGTTTCCTGTCGCTATAACACATCAGAACAAACTCAGCGGTTTAAAACTACACAAATCGATCGTCTTACATGTCTGGGCATTAAAAGTCTGATACGAGTCTCACTGGGCTCAAATCAGGGTGTCGGCAGGGCTGGTCCCTCCTGCAGGGTCCAGGGGGGGACCCCGTCTCCTGCCTATTCCAGCTGGAGGGGCGCCGTCGGTTCGTGGCTCGGGGTGGCTCTTACTGTGTCTGCGAGGGCAGAAGGGCAGCTCACGTCTTCCTCACATCACATCGCTCTGAGCCCCTCTGCTACCTTCGTCTGCCACGTTTAAGGATGCTGGTGATTACTCTGGGCCCACCCTGATAATCAGAATAATCTCCTTATTGTAAGGCCAGCTGATTACCGACTTCATTTCCATCTGCTACCTTTAATCCCCTTTGCCATGTAAGATGATACATTTACGGGTTCCAGGATCAGGACCCAGAGAGGCGTCAGCGGGAGGGCGGCACATTCAGATCTGCGCCCTCTGCGGCCACCTTCCACTCCGTTGCTCGGACTGGCCGTCCCTCCAAGGTCCCGTCTCTACCTGCAGGGGGTGCTGGCCTGGCTTATTATACTGACTTTTGAGAACTGAGTGTTAAACAGTTGGTATTAATGATGTAGATAAACATGCAATGAAATATATTAAAACAGAAGTAACAAATGCTCAAAACTCATCACTTCCTAATTCTATTACTGTATGTTAATATCATTTCTGCTTTTTCAGTTATTTGCCTCTATTGCATCTGAGGGGCGGAAATCCTCGCCAACACCTCCACTACACAATTCTTCCCAGCTTTGCGCGGCAGCGGCTTGAAATCAGCCGTTTACACCACGGGATTCAGCAAATGCTACAAATCAGAGCTTGAGATATTTTTGTTGATGGTTTAGTCTTTAGAAAGCGGTGGAGAAAATATAAGTAATGCAGACTGACCTAAAAGGCTGCGGTGTTTGTAACTGTTACATCATGAATAGCACAAAAAATTGTCCCATCAGGGTTGAAATGCAACTATAGGTTGGCTACAAAAGCAAGAGTTTGGCAAAAATCAACCGAAGCATTCCGTGTGAATCAATTGGCCATGGGGACTTCACAATAAAAAGCACCGTCTGTTTTATTATTATCGGTAAACTGCATACTATACTTCCTTTATCTCAATAAAATGGAGAATAAACTGATATACATGTGTGTGCTCATGCTTCTCTTGGCAGGCACCTGGTTATTCATCACGTATCAGCACATCAGCACCTACCCCTCCCTCCCCGAGCCCCACCTGCCAGCCCCTGTGCTCTGTGCCCTTGCCCTGTGAACCTCTTACATTTCCCAGAATTCTCCCTGCTGTACACATGCTGTTTGCACAGTGCGGCATGACCCCTGCCCGCTTCACCTGCTCCATTGCCCGGCAGCACCATGCAGGAGCCACCTTGCCCAGGAGGCTGTTCTGGCCCTGGGCTGGGTGGAGTGCCCGTCCTGCGGGCTCCTATCACCACCCCATCCCCCCACCCAGAACTGGGCTCGCTTCTCTGTCTCTGCCACTGTCCCTGGCTGTGCAGAGCCCAGCACCATCCCTATGTAGTAGGTGCTCCACAGACATCCACGTAAGGAGCTGGGGTTGCTCTTGACATGGTAAGGCCTTTGAGTTTCTCCCGGGACACAGGAGGAAGCCCTGATGTAGACACAGCTGTGGAGGGAGCCGGTCCCTAGGGGATGGGGTCTCCTGGGCGCACTGGGGGAAATGAGAGAATAGAGCCCCACCTCATCCGTCCCCTTGTGTCTGGAGGGAGCCCCGCCTTCTGCTTCCATGCCTGCCAATCCCCACTGCGCTCCCCCCCCCCACAAAGGGCTTCTTTATGCGAATCCACAGGGGTTGGGGATCCCGGGTCTTGGGGCAGATTAGTGGCCTCCCCAGGGGATCCTGGGAGCTGAGATCCTGAGCCAGGTGTGTTCAGGACCAAAGGGAGGCAGTTAATGGGGAGACAGCTCCTGGGAGACCCCAGCACAAACGTGGAGGCCATCCGTCCAGGTGGGCCCCTTCCTCTCCCC